CTTGTTAGATCCTTCTTGCATATCTCTGTCTTCCTGAGAAACCACTTTGAAGATACCACCATGTATTACAGCAGCCATTGATATTTTCCTACTAATCTACCCATAACTCTCCAATGTTTGTATTGTTCCTATCCTATTTCATAAATGGATGCATGTCTATCATTATGTGTTCCCTACAACAACCACTGAGAAAAGTTAATGATTATTCAATAGGTCACTCATGTATAGCTCTATTTGTTTTCTTTAGAAGTCACTTTGAAGATACCAAAGTATAGTACAGCTATTGATAATCTCCTACATCTTTTGTCTGTAACTCATTACTGTCTATTTGTTTTCCTGAGAAACTATCTTGTAGATAACAATATGTGAAACAATAACCATTGATAATTTCCTACCACTTTGTCTGTAATTTGGTAAGCCCCCCCCATTATTATGTTATCCTTCTTTTACTCTTTGAAATTAAAAAAAAATGCTGTTTATATAAAGGGATGTGCACGAGTCTTTGGGAGGTCAAGGGTGGAATGTTATGGTTGGTATCTGCATGTTCCCCCAAATCCTCATGCAGCCATGGGGAGGGCTTCTAGAATGCACAATTGACCCATGATCCAATGCTGGGATTATGGGTGTGAGTGTTACACCCGCCCTGGGGCAGGTAGTTTGCATACAAGGGAAGGGAAGGAAAGAGGCTGCTTGCTGCTGCTCCTCCTTTTTGCTCTTGTTGCTTTTGTTGTCTTCCACCACTATGAACCATTGCCTTCTGCCATGTGCCACCTTGCCTTGGAGGCAGCTGAGTATGGACTGAAACCTCCACAGACTGTGAGATAAATAAACCTTTTTCCTTCCTTAATTTTGGGCATTGGGTATTTTGTCTCAGCAACAAGAGAGAAGTAACCAAGACAGGTGGCATGTGGTGAGGTAACTTGTGTGCCTGTGTCTTTGGGTCTCACTCTTCTTACAAAGCCATCACAGTCAATCATGGAGCTCCTTAACTACCTTGTCCAATTCTCATCAATTCCCAAAGACATCAGATCTAAACACCACAGCTCCAGTAAGTATTCTCTTACTGCCACATAAGTGGTGCTTATGAAGCCTGGAGGGACACAACCAAACCTTATTCAAATCATAGCAGTGTTGTTTTGTCATGGCAGCTTAGCCAGAATAACAGACCATATCAGCACTAAATTGGACTGACCATAAGTTAATAGGGTAAGGGAGTGACAGTTGAAGAAAGTAAAATGACATATTCAACACACCAACTCTAGTCAAGCAACACCTGGAAGAGTTGTCAATAAGTATTTTAATTTTAGTAATATTCATTTTAAACAGTTCAAAGGGTGAGAAAATATGACACCATACTACCTTCCAAAAGAACCCTCTATGGATATGATAGGTTACCAACACACACATGTATTCTTCAAATGATAGACTGTAACTAGTTAGTTATGTAGTTTTCCAGGATGCAATCACAGCCATCCTTTAAAAAAGTTCTGAAAAGGAGTAATTCTACCCTATAAATGCAACAGGCAGTATTTTCAAGGTAAATGAATGTTAGAAAACCAGTCTCTGATAATTAAGATGACTTATGATTTAAGAAACAGAAGTGGGGCATGGTGGCACACGCCTGTAATCCCAGCACTCCGGAGATTGAGACAGGAGGATCGTTGTGAATTCAAGAGCAGCCTGGGTTACAGAGTGAGCTCAAGGCCAGCCTTCACTACATAGAAAGACCATGTCTCAAAAGACCTGAAAAAAAAAAAAAAAAAAAAAGAAAAAAGAAACAGACACCCACCACTTCACTGCTCTAAAAACAAAGAAACATTCTCTATATGCCCTAACAGGACCTCTAATGATTCACACCCTCAAAGTAACCCTCTGCTGTGCAGTGTGGGTGGGGACTGACATTTGGCTATAACCCACAGAATATGGGGAAGGTGCATGGATGTGACTTCCCTGACTACAGTTATTTAAGACTATCCTAGCATGCTTGAGTGGAATCCTAGCCCACCATCCATGAAGAAGCAAGCAGGCCCACAGGCCCTGCTTAGAGAAGGAACTGTAGGTAGCTTCCAGTAAACAGCAGTAACTTGTGAATCCAGGCCCTGTCACATATCCACAAGGAAACCTTGCCAAAGCCTGAATGTGTATGGATGCAGTGTTCCCCAGTTGAGCCTCCAGATGAGAATGCAGCCTGGCTAAAATCTTGATCTCAGCCTTCTGAGATCCTGAGCAGAGGACCTGGCTAAGCTGTCCCCTGAATCATGACCACTGGAAACTGAGATAGTAAATACTTGTTTGCCTAAACTGGTAAGTTGTGACAGTTTCTTACACAAGAGTAGAAACCTACTAAGAACATAAATATATCAAAACAGCAACTCTGGGATTGAGTATTTCAGTTGCCCTTGACATCATCATTCACACTGGCTCTAGTGATCTGCCCTGCTACTCTCAGACCCACATTGGAGAGGCAAAATATGTGATCATGGGTTGTGCCAACAAAGAGATGCCTTCCTACCAAAGAGCCATCTTTCTCAGATGTGTGGGAAGTCTGAGAACTTTCCCAAACGTGTCACAGACTTCTGTCACATACCTGAAGAGGCTGGGACACATGCTCAGCCCAAAGAGACCACTACAGAAAATGTCTTTCCTAATCATGAAGTGAACCAAGAGAAATCCCTGAACAACAGTGTAGAAATGGATTTTTAAAAAAAATCATGAAAATGACTGTTGTAGAGTCAAACAAATCTGTGAAAGATTCCTGCCAATAGGGTAACACTCCCCCTCGTGACTAGTCTATATGCTACTTATCAGATGCCAGGAAATAGTCAAAGAACTGTACTTACCTAATTACTTCTCACAATGACTTCTAAAGGCAAGTCCTAGTATTGCTTCCTTTTTGAACATGAAGAGACAGAAGCTCAGAGATGTTAAGGTGAAAGTCACACATGTAAGCAGAGAAGCCAGGATGTATCACATGGCCCCTATTGGAGGGCATGGCCTCGGCACACCCACCTATGACAGTACCCATGTAAACACGAGGAGTTAAGAATGAAGGGTAAATTCTGCTTGCAGAGACTGCATTCTACTGAATGCGATGAAACAAGTACCACTAATCAGAGCTGTTTAAGGTAATCTAGACTTAAACTGTTAACATTTATGTACTTGTGCATGTCTATGAAAATGTTTTAGAACCACTGTCTGACATTGTTTGCTGGAAACTTCTGGAAAATATTTACTTAAGAGTTTGGTAATAATTGTAGTACAAATCTACATACACTAGAACATGAATGTAGTAAGGCAATTTCTACTGAATCCATTAAACAAGACACAGAGGCTAGTGTGGCATAGAACGTGGAAATTCTTAACTGTTGTGCTTCAGATATGGTTTGGGTGAACCTTTAAAAGGCAAGGCCTTGGGCTGGGGATGTAGCTCAGTGGAAGAGTGCTTGCCTAGCATGCACAAGGCCCTGAGTTCAATCCCCAGTACCACACACACAAAAGCAAGATTTCACTGGGCCCACTGGGGCATTCCTATAATCTCAGTTACTTGGGAAGTTGAAGCAGGAAAATCCCAAGTTCAAGCTCAGTCTGGGCAGTAAGTTGCAAATGAGTGAGATCTCACCTCAAACTAATATTAAAAAGGGCTGAGAATGTAGCTCATTGTGAAGGCCCTGGTTTCAACTCCAGTTCCCCTTGCACGTGCATGCATGCCCACACACTGGCTGGCAATGTGAACTCCTGGGTTCAAGCCCCAGTACCAAAAAAGAACATGGTGGAGCCTAGTAGGAGGAATTGGGTCAGTACTGGCAGTGCCACAGAAGGGAGCAAATGTTTGTGTAGAGTTGTTACAGGAATGGTTATTATAAAGCAGGGCCACTCAGCACATGTGGCCTCTTTTGCACACAGCGAGCTTATAATGTGAACCAGCCAAGCAAAACAGCATAGAGGCTGCAGCCACCCAGATTTCCACTGTCAGCCTCCTATACCGCAAGCAAAATAAGCCTCTTTATAAAGTACCAGGACTCAAGTGTTTTGTCATAGCAACCGAAAATGGATTAATATTTAATCTAAGTCACAATGTTTAGTACACCAGCTGCATTTATCACTGCCACTTAGTTACTCTGGGTCTCATGAAGGAGCATTTCTAACATTAAATACTCTTTATGCATAGACCCTGTATACTTTAGGGTCTATGCTGCATTCCATAGTCTGTGTAGCTAGCTGTACCACAGACCTCTACCAACTAGGTGGCAATAGCAGGACTCTCCAACCTCCAACTGTGATAACAAAAATGACTGCACATAGTCAAATGCAGTAATAACACCACTGATATTTCATTACTGGTACTCAAATATTTTATATTTTGAATACTATCTCTCACATTCCCATTTGTTCCTATTACACTGAGTATACATCTGATACATAAACAAGGTAAAAGCTTTAAAGCTCTGACTCATTAAAGGTAATAGATTTACATTATTCTCAGTGTTCTGTGACATCTGGAACATATGGAATCCCAAATTTGTTTCATCCTTTGTTTCCCTGTTGATTCTTATAAAAACTGAGTTGGAAATGAAAGGTGACAACACAGACTGCTCCTCTGTATAAATTTATGATAAACAAAGACTGGTAATTTCCCTCAGAGAGATCATGAGGTGAATCATAACAGTGGGACATTGGTACTAGAATGCAAACAGATCATGCACAAAATGGCAGAAGGGTCAATATTTATTTGTCACTTGTGCAACACAAGGTGCTGAGATGGAGGTGGGAAGATCTCTCTTATCTGTCTTAAATCACAGTGACTGTCTCCCACCTGTACTTCAAGGCCATCCTGAGGGTCAGCAGCACTTTAGTCTCATAAAACATGAGAAATTGGAGAGGACTGCATGGTCATTGTCTTTATGTTGCTAGGCTTGTATTAATGCTTACCACATGTGTCTGTATTCCCTGGGCAGAACTCAGGCCACAATAAGACAAGGCTAAGAAATGCAGGCTGAGTCCCATAGAAAAGGAAATGGTCTTTGGAGGATACACAGCTATTACCTGCCCAACAAGATTTTTCTACTATGTGAACTCAGTGATACTTGCTGAGGTGTGATTTGAGCAAGTTTCCATCCTCACAGAAGCTCCTCTCCCATGTTGAGTTCTTTCATGCTTGCTGAGGTGTGAAGTCTGGCGAAAAGTCTTTCCACACTGGTTACATCCATAGGGTTTTTCCCCAGTGTGTGTCATCTGATGTTTAGCAAGGTATGACTTATATGCAAAAGATTTCCCACAATCATTACATTTATAGGGTTTCTCCACAGTGTGTGTCATCTGATGGTTAGTGAGGTAAGTCTTCTGTCCAAAGGATTTTCCACATTGATCACATCCATAGGGTTTCTCCCCAGTGTGTGTCATCTGATGTTTAGTGAGGTAAGTCTTCTGGCCAAAGAATTTCCCACACTGATTACATTCATAAGGCTTCTCCCTAGTATGGATTGTCTCATGTTTAGTGAGGTGTATCTTCTGACCAAAAGATTTTCCACAATGACCACATTTATAGGGCTTTTCACCTGTGTGCGTACGCTGATGCTTTGTGAGGTGTATCTTCTGGCCAAAAGATTTTCCACACTGACCACATTCATAGGGCTTCTCACCTGTGTGTGTACGCTGATGCTTTATGAGATGTGACTTTCTGTGAAAAAATTTTCCACATTCATTACATTCATTACATCCTTTGGGTTTCTCCTTTGTATGAATTCTTCCCCAGTGTCTCCGGAGTTGTGACTTCTTGCGAAAGGCTATTGTACATTTAGTACACTGATAGGGCTTCTCCCCACTGTGAATTTTCTCATGAATAGTGAGAGATGACTTACGGCACAAAGTTTTCCCACATTCTTTACATTCATATAGCTTCCCCCAAGTATGAACGCCCTCATGCCTCATGAGGCCTGATTTAGTGTGAAAGGCCTCTCCACATTCATCACATTCATAGGGCATTCCCTCAATAGGAAGATTCTGCTGCACAGTAATGTCTGACTTACAGCGGGAGGATTTCTCACATTGATGATATGCACAGGCTCCTTTCTCTGAATGTTTCTTCTGTTGTGTAATGAAGGTTTTCTCACATTCACCACATTCACAGGATTTCTGCCCTGTGTGTGTCTGACATGTAGTGAGATCATAGTTTTTATAAAGAGTCTTTCTTCCTACTGTGGCCCTGAGAGCTGACTTCTCACAGGCTTTCCCAGATTCATTATGCTCCCAGCAGGCCTGCCCCATAGGAACCCTCTCATGTGTCATACATTCTTTCCGTAACTTTGTCTCCGTGATGAAGGCTTTCCATTGACTACTAGACTGAAAATCCTGCTGCCCACTTGAAATCTTGGAATGCTGACCAAAATGCTCAGCACCTCTTGGGGATTCCCCATTTGTGTGACACTGACTTGGCTTCTCTCCAGCACCCATCTCACCGGGCTCTATTGGGAGATACTCTACTGCTGAATAGTTCCCAGGATTTACAATCAAATCTGAAGTATGGTTTGAGCTCAGATCAAAATTTGACTCAAGGACTTTCAGCTCAAATCCTAATTCGACTTTCTCCTCAGCTGATGTGTTACTGGTGGTGAGAACAACTTGCCACAAACATCTGCCTTGACTCTTGAGACTGGACTCAATTGTGTCATCCACTTTCTGGATATCTAAAATGAGAAAAAAATAATGATACGTCAATCACATCTACGCATTAAGAAAAAAAATGCTGATGTATAGCTTAAAGGAGTTTTTCGTAGTTTAAAAACATGAGGTTTCATAAAAGTCATAATGGTTATTGGGGTAAGTATATAGTTTTTCTTCCTGTGGACTTTATATAATAAATTACATAGATAGATTTTAGAATCTTAAAATGTTTTTGCTTCTTTTTATTTCATGAAGCTTCAGCCTCTACTGCTGATACCCTTCTCATTACTCTGCTTTGAAGGTGGCGAGAATATCCAGACCAGCTAGTGGTAGCATATCAGTGAGGTCCAACTGCCTGGCACCTAGGTAGGCACATGGCGAATGAACAGGGTCTTGCATCTATTTGTTCCATTTTCATTCTTCCCTGGGGAATGATGGTGGCCACAGGGGAGTTTTTAAAATATCTTGTCACTGTAGGCAAAGACAATGTCTTCCAAATTCCTCATTTGACCTACTCTGCTTCTCAAAACCACAAATACAGGAAACTTGTCTATCACCATGGACGAACTCTTCAGAGCTCAACATCTGAAAACTGTTTTTCTGGCACGTTCTGAGATCAAAGCCCTGACACCTCGCCCAAAGCCCTGTTACACGCACCTGTGCTTGTTCACTCATTGCCTCTGAAAGATACTATCTCCTGCTTGCACAGAAATGGAGTCCTCTGTACATTTCTCATTCTCATGGGCAATGCAAACTCCACTCCCAACAAGAAATCTGAACTGCTTCACACAGAACCTTTACATCATTTGTCCTTGGGACTAAGAACCTGAGAGCACACTGTGAAGTTGAAGACTACTCTTTTCATGCTCCTCTGCTGGACCCTGCTGCTCACTTTCACCATTTCTGACAGCATGGTTCTCAAATACAAGCATACAATTTCTAATACTTAAAATCTGCTCTAGGGCTAGGGATGTAGGTAAGTTGGTAGAGTGCTCACCTACACGTGTGAGGCCCCACAATCTCTAGCACCACTGCAAAAACAAAATAAAAAGCTGTTTATAAGGGCCACTTGCAGCTACTCAGCAGGCTGAGACAGGAGGAGCATAAATTTGAGGCCACCCTGAGCAACTTACTGAGAGGTTGGTAGTTTGTTACAAAATACAAGATAAAAAGGACTAGGGATGCAGGTCAGAGCGACGCTGGGTTCAATCTCACAGGCTGGGGTCATTGTGCTGAGAATAAATGCGTTTATCAGTAACTGTTATCAACAAAAAGAGTCTGATAGTGCAGAATAAGACACAGTGAGAATACAGAGGAAGCAAAGATAAATGTATGAAAGGAAGATGGTAGGGATTAGGTGTGGAGTATATCTAAGAAAATGTTCAGTAAAGTAAAAGGTGGACATATTCTATCAGTGCCTGCATAACTGATGCATGCAAACCAGGCATCTGTTGTGAGGTCTGAGACTTGGAGAAATAGTGTCCAACATCTGAACCCAGCCAACACCTGCTCAGCTTCCCTCTTGCCGGTCCCTCTGCCCCGTATGCACTGACTGACCTGGAGGACTCTGGTTTGGGGGTTCCTCTCTCATCCATGGTTCTGCTCCTTGCTCCAGCTTAAAGATCACCTCAGGTTTGTTGATGCAATGTCCTGTTAATGGAAAATAATGTATTTAAGAAACTGCTCTATCAGGTTCTGTGCAGAACCTGAATGAAAAGAGCCCAGTTTCAAGAGCTGTGCAATGAAGGTCCCCAGATGAACCCTTCATTAGAGAGGGGGAACAATCATGTTCTTCACGGACTAGAAGCTTATACTGCTATGGCTTATATCTAGATGCTGCCCAAAGCGGCATGGGCTCATAGTGGGACTTTGGGGAAGTCACTGGATCGTGGGTGTGTGATACTGGCTCATGGATGTGTGGTACTAGATCATGGGTATGTGGTACTGGATCATCCACTGATGGGTTTATAGCTGGGTGTGATGCTTGGAGGTGAAGCCTGTTGTGACAGGTGGGTCACTGTGGACCTGGCCTAGAGATAAATATCATTCCTTCCTCCTTCTTTGAAAGCATGCTACTTCCCACCAGCTACACCTTGAGCTTTTTC